ATACATATATACCATACATACATACATATATACCATATATACATACATACATACATACATACCTATATATATATGTATATATATATATGTATATATGTATATATATATGTATATATGTATATATATATATATATGTATATATATATATATATATATATATATATATATATATATAAATGTATATAAATCTTTTGTTTTATATAATCTATTAGAAGAGTCCACACACACACACACACACACACATAGAGTACGAAAAGATATTGTAGTCATGCGAGTATGTTTCTTGTTGAGAATCTATTTTAAGAAATAATTAATAAGTAATCACGGTGTGCGATAACGAGAAGGGATGGTCTTGGAACGAAACTGAAACATACCAGAGAAATCTGGGTGTGGCGGAATAAAGGGTGCGTTTTGTCTTTTCCATAGATATCTATGTATACACACACAGAGATATACGCACGTATGCATACACACACAGAGAGATACATTGTCTTTTTACATGTGTTTTACGTGTATGTATGTGGATAGAAACGTGCTTACATAGGCGCTTACCTACAAAGGGCCGCACACGTTCATCATTTTCTTCTCTTTGGAATAAATTGACTTTCAGGTATAAGAAACTGTTCCGATCCATTTTACGAAATGCATCAATTCCTACCCCTCGATTCGAATACATCGGAAGTGTTTTCGGGAATATATGATGAATAGGACGCGCATATTGCAAAGTAATATTCTTCTTTTCTTTTTTTTTTTTCAAAATTAGATTAAACAGTAAAATCACTGATTATGAAAGTTCTTGTAATTTTAATTAATCAGGATTTCGATAAAATCATTGTAAGATAAAATCAAGCGTTCAAGTGAAACGAAAAAATTTTTTTCATTATACTATAAATATATTTTTCCCTTCAAGGATAGAGTAAACAATAAGGTCATTAATTAAAGTAACCAGATTCTTTTTAATCTTGAACAATAATGATTCAGATTATAAGATAAAATCTATTGTTTAAGTAAAATGACAGAAATGTTTCGTACACCAAAATATTTTTTCGTTTCTTTTTTCTTTTTTTTTTTTTCTTAATATACACGCAAAAGAAGAAAACGAAGTTGAATGAAATTTTAGATAAATGATCATATCAGAAGAGAATCCGTTGAAAGTTGAAGGAGAATTTTGGCATTGAGAATTTTTTCCGAAGATGCCATGATAAATCACTTTCCATCGATTTCTTCGACGATAAATCGAAGAAATGACGTATCCAAAAATGATTAATGTAAGTTAGAAACGAGTCACGTTACACGGTTGGTCGTGTGCTGTTCATCGAGTCAATAAAGTCGTATCCCACGCTCGACTCCCTTCTTTCAAACGAATTCGAACGCTCCTCTTTCTTTTTTGTTTTCTTTCTTTTTGTTTATCTTTTTTTTCTTCTTTTTTTTTGTTGTCCTTCACGATGAGTCAGACTGTTTCATCGTCATACTTTATGTCATACTTTAGACCGACGTTTTTTCCGATTATGTAAAAAAAAAAAAAGAAAAGATAAAATGAAAGAAAAACTTCGATATTGTAGAAAATCACAAACGATGCATTGAATTTTTACGTAAATTTAAAGATATTTATCTCGATCTGAGATCTATGTATATAAGAAGATTAAGTATTATTATCATTGAATTAGGAATTATAAGTATTGAATCAATTGATGTGGTTTGTGAATCTCAATGTACATCATTAGCTTTACCTAATGACTCATGTTGATTCAACGTAACATGCTATTCAGTTAAGATCTATTTGACGATACATGCAACCTATTTTTCAATTCTTTCCTCATATTTTCTATCTCACTAAAAAATTTTCCACTAGTTAATGAGATTTGATTGGTCAATTTGAACACATACAGTAAGATGTATATGAGGATATCTTAAAACAATTTATACGCGTTGTGATTCTGTACAATTTATTAATTATTTTAATTATATAAATAGTTGATTTTATTTATTTCTTTATTTGTTTTTTTTTTTTTTTTTTTTTTTTTTTTTCTTTTTTTAATATTATTATTCTTTCTACGATAATTAAGAATAAATTTTTTATTAGAGATTAAATATAAAAGCATTACATGTTTTGTGTTTAAACGATACGTTATTTCGAGTTCTCGAAATGTCTCGATAGAGTGTCCGAATATATAGTTTTCTAGTGATACCCAATATTTGATGGAGGAAGTATTTGATGGAAAAGAAAGAGATAGAGTTAGACAGTGAGAAAGAGAACGGGAGAGAACGAAAAATGGTCCGACTTTACGACTAGCATTTTCTCTCAACTGCAATGCAGATGTTATAAAATTTACGCATCCGGTATAAAATCTTCACCGCTAGCAGGCTTAACATACGAACTTCCTCTTGACGAAGCGAGTTTAACTAACAAAATGACCTAGGACGACATTTCGAATTTCATGAAACTTTATCGGCGAAATAAAAATTTATATATATATATTTATATATATATATATATATATATATATATATATATATATATAAATATCGAGATACATTAATTTTATTTTCAAAGAAGATAGGTTTTTATTACAAATTCATCCAGTTTGAGACTCTTACAAAAATCTTGACTGACAAGTAATATCATTTGGATGATCTTTTAATTGTCTTTACAACGGAGCTATATTTAAAATTTGAAATCAATAGTTTTCGAAAAATTGTGTTTCTAAATTTCAAATTGAAAACTTGATTCTTAATTTATTCAAAACATGTATTGCCGACCTTCACGCAATAAGAAAATCTTTCCTCGATATTACATCGAACATTTTGCATCATATCCGGTGTAATTTGTCGGGATTCTTCAAGTTTTCCTATTGAAACCAATTGGGTTGCATATATCTTTGATTTTAGATGTTCCCATAGAAAAAAAATCATAGGGCGTAAATGATCGAAAAAATGTTGGTTTTATAACTGTCGTATTGGACCTGCATATAGTCTGGAGTAGTTCCATTGTGTTGAAAAAATATCTCTTCTGGCATATTCAGGTCGTTTTGAATGATTTATACGATCAATGAATAAATCTACCTCCTAAGTAAGTTGAACTATGACTCTCCGATAAAATTATTTGATAAAAAGAATGGACCAATAATTTTACAATCAAGATACCAGCCTACACATTTATCGAAATACATCGGAAGTATTGCAGAATGTTTGACGTAATACTGTGGAAATATTGTATTACTGCATGGATGTTGGCGATTCATGTTTTTATAATATTTAATAAAATAAAATTTCTTCGAAATCTGCAATTCTTTGGTATCTGAAATTTCAAATGCATCATTTTCTCGGGAATTTTTAACTCAAAATTAACAAAAAAAAAAAAAAACATGAAAAATAACACCATTTTACAGAGAATTAAAAGATCTTTCATATGACATGCCACTTGATCTCTGTTGTCACTTAAGATCTTTAAGGAGCTTGTCACCCGAATCCCCTGGATCTAGTTTAAAGTGGATGAATATATAAGGACCTGTCTCCTCAAAAACAAAATTGATCTGTCTAAGCGTTTTTCGAAAAAATTACTAGTTTCTACTAAAACTACTAGTTTCATAATATTCTTGGTATACACTTTTTGTTGGGACACTTTTTGTGCATGTGTTTGTATATATATTTCATGCAATTCGAGTTTATCAACACGTTGTCCATCGATAGAACATATGAGAGAGTAATAAATCAAGTTAGATGACTAGTATACTGTTATAATAACTAATTTTCCTATCGAACACGTGCGGGCACGATTTCCATCGAGTTACTCGGAAATTGGCGGTTCGATCGATAACGAGGGAACTATGGTTGAACATTGAGAGAATAAAAAAGAAATATACTACGTATCACGATAATATAGCAATGTCTATAATATAGACGAGGACATGATCGTGGGGCTAGTTTCCTCCTTTGTATGGACTCTCTGCAATTCTAGCGAACTAGACCCACTAACCGCGACACACGTTTCTCAATCGATCTATAACTATATCATAACCATCTCCTGCGTGTGCGTGCGTTCATAGTTCGTTGCGTGTAATTTCAAGTATATTCGTGAGTATGATAAGACCATATATATTCGTGAAGCACTATGATTAATTTGATGATCAAAAGTGGATAATTATAAGTACATAAACACGTAGATGCCTGCATGTCTACAACGATGGAAAATATAAATAACAACAAGAGAAGTGGTTTTTATAATAACGATTGAATAAAATGAAAATATCGATGTATATAATATCGAAATTAGTATCTTATTCTTTGTAAAATAATTTGAGTCAAATTGGATAATAAAAAAATTCTTTGATTGTAATCGTTAATTCTAAAAAAAAAAATTATAATGTTTAATTAATAAAACGTATAATTTCGAAATAAGCACCTTAATATATAAAGTAATTCAAGTCAAGTAAATAATGAGAATAATTTTCGATCTATGATACAAGTTCGAAAATTTCGATAGTAAGTTATCATCTTAAATTAACTTTTAATTTAATTTCATGTAACTTTTAAGTTGCGCACCTATATTTCTTTATTGTTTTCAGTTTTATTTTATTTTATTGATACAAATTTAATTGTTACTTCATATTTGAAGTTTTAAATGTTTTTTTAAGTATGGATTATATTTAGCATTCAAATTATACTAGTATAAGTAATACTATAATTTTCACATTATATAATATTTTTATTTAGACAAGAAAAAAGTTATGTTATATGTTAAACGCACGTGATAGCGTAATTACAAGATACGAATGTTTAATGTAGTTTAATTCGCAATGAGACACGTATGTGACGATTAAATTCTTCGTTAAATTACATAAAAAAGAAAAAATTATAATAGAATTTCTTAAATTATTACCATTGGAATATTTGTTGAATAGCTAGTTTAATATTTGTCTTTTTTAAACATTTCTAACAAAAATAAGTTTTAACATGTAACGACGATTGCATAATTTCTTTTTTCTTTTTTTATTTTTCAGATTTCAAAAATAATAATTTCGGGTACGCGAGGTAGAGGTTTTAACCGAATGGAGGAAAATTTCGCTACAACAAGTTGGAGAATTGATCGATTTTGGTGAGCGGGATATGGTCTCAGGTGCGACGGCGGGGCGATGACGCTCTATCACCGTCCACCGTCATCACCAGGAGTCCCCCAGGACTCACCCAGCTTCCTAAACCTAATCCCACACCCGATCCCGATCCCAATAATCTCGACAACGAGGACGTATCGTCTTTCCCGTCGATCGGCAAGGACGACGTGGACGACGTGGTGGACGAAAACGACGACGACGACGACGACGACGAGGACAAGGACAAGGACAACGACGACAACGACGACGACGACGACGACGACGACGACGACACCGACGACGAGAAGCGTCGCGAAAACGGACGCTACGTGTTCGTTCGCGAAAAGGTATGAGAGATCGTCCTCATCGCTATCGAGAACATCACGGACAGGCCATGCCCCTCGAGGAGGTCCAAGGATTGTTACTTCCACCCTCAAGAACAGGCGAGTCTTTGTTTAACTTATTCTATTTTATCATATCATTTCTTTTATTGTTATAAAATATCGGATGTTTAAATATAATAGGTTAGAAAAAGGATAACATTACAGTTTTCAACCCGTTTATTATCTTTCGTTATAAATACATTTCTTTTTTACGGTTGAAATTCTCACACGACTAAAACATGACAAATAATTCTTTTATTTCATGTTTATTTGTCATTGGAAAGATCTGGTTAATCTATGAGAGTGTTATAAAAATGGTGTTCTACTCGTTAAACTTACTTTCGTATTTTAACGAAGTTCTATATTAGTTGAATAGGATTTGGATAGGATTTTCTAAATTGATCGTTTTATTTTAATCTTTTATATTAATATTGAAATTTTCTTTTGTTCTGAGTTTTTCTCGGTTGTAATATCTTCGTGATTGCCCCGAGGTATAGCTTTAATTACCTGTGTACATAAATGCACATGTGCCTCATTATAGTACTACGTACCTACTTGAATGCTGTATAAGCATACTACGAATGTCGAATAGGTAAACACTAACAACAAGATGTTGTAGCTCTTGTCAAACTGGGTCATTCAAAGTTGTCTTCAATGGATCCTGCACACTGTGTGATACAGAGAGCCTCAGAGAACAAGTACCAACCCAGTGGCGATTTATATGCGTTTCGTGACTTCTACTTCGCTCTATCCAGTCATCTTTTTTCGAGACGCTTCAAGTTTACAGGGGAATAAACTTTGTTTTTCCTTTTTTCTTTTTTTTTTTTTCATACATATGTTGACGTTTGTCCAAATCCCTAGTGGAACAGTGAATAGTTTATTTAATACGTTCACTGTCCAGTGACCCATATGTAGGTCAAGATAATCCTTCACTTGTACATGGAACAGGATTATTCACAAAAGTGGATAATCTCTATACAGAAAGTCTAGCTCCTCATGACTTTACATTTGAAATTAAACCATTTACATGTCACGAGAACTTTTATTCGAACAATTCATGACTTCAATATGAATCAGAGTTTCGAATTCTTTTTCATGATGATACTAGTTTTAATATGGTATCAGATAGATCTACGTCGTAATATTATTATTAGATAAAATATATTATTATTATAATTAGATAATTATCAATCTTGTTTTATTTATCTTTCTTCCCTTTTTTTATTATTAAGTTCGTCGTTCTTTGACAAAAATGCAAAAGGTGAGAATTCTTTTAGACGAGAATTATTTAATTTGCAATTGGAAATATATAAGAGGTGAGAATTCTTTTGGATTTCTTAGTAATTTGATTTTTAATATAGGAAAAATTGTGGATTCTCTATTCACAGATTCTTTCCCTTAACGTGTATCTTCTACATAAAACACGAGATATAAGACACGTTCGTCGCAGATTGCAACATCATGAATAATTCTCTCTCTCTCTCTCCCTCTCTCTCTCTCTCTCTCTCTCCCTCTCTCTCTCCCTCTCTCTCTCTTTCTCTCTCTCTCTCTCTCTCCTTCTCTCTCTCTCTCTATTTGTCTTTGATGCTCGAAAGTCGATCGTTAAATCGATCAATCTTACGTTTCTGCATCGAATTATATTCTTTCTTCGAGCCAATGAATTTCTGTCGCTCTCTCACCTCTCTCTCTCTCTCTCTTCTTCTTCTCTCTCTCTCTCTCTCTCGCCCTCTTTTCTCTTTCCCCCCTCTTTCTCGTTCTCTGTCAGTGAACGACGAATACAAATCATCCTCTACCTCCTGTCTCTCGATCTTTCGTCGTACGGTTAAACGGATTCAATTTTAGCTGGGTTTACCCAGGAGAAGAGAGGGTGAGGGGTGAGAAAATGACACCGAGGTTAATTACTACTTAGCGACATCGTCGAGAAGTGCCGATGATCCTGCCTTCTCTAGACGAAACCAACACCTTTTCTAACTAATTTTGTCCACTTTATTTAATCTTCACGTAATCAAACTGCGTATAACTATAAGAAATATATTCAACTTAAATTATCTGAAATATATAGATAATAATATTACAAATGTAAATTTGCATTTTTCTTTTTCTTCTTTTCTTTTTTTCTTATCTTTTTTCCATTCTTTTCTATTTTCTTTTCTCTTCTATTTTATATATTTTTTTTTTTTATTTACACTTGAATGTTTTATAGAAACAAGATTAGAGATAAGATTTTAAATATATCAGAACGATTTTCCCTTTGTTTTACATTCCACAAAAAGTTCGTTTATATTTGATCGGTCAACCGATAAGATTTTGTCGTTTCGTGATAAAAACTGTACTAATTGTAAATAGAATGAACTTTCGATAAGCCAGTACATATTTAACACACGTTTCGTAATCGATATCCTTTCGGATTTTCTCGTTTGAATAAATGATAGGCAGCCTTTAATCACGTTGTGAGACTCGATTTAATTCGAATTAGTAGGGGATAAAGAGATTAGTATTAGACACACAACTCGAATGATCTATGATATTGCGAGGATCGCTTTGCAAATATTAAATATTTTTGTTCTTTTTTCTTTTCTTTCTTTTTCATGGAAACATTATCTCTTTTAAAGAAATTTATATTCCAAAACTTATCAAAGCATATTGTGTTTTATGATAGGTAACCGGGGACCTTTGAATGTGACGATTGTACAGGTGGGAAGAGGGAATGGGGGAGGTACTGGAGATAGTGGAAATGATTTATTGAGGTTGGAGCCGCCATCGGATTTAAGGCCCGCACCATCGCCACTTTCCGATACCAGTGCCACCTTACAGTCCGACATTAATGACACCTTTACTGGAGGTAAGAGATATCTCGTCTTAACTCTTTGTCTTTTATTTCTTTTTTTTCTATCTCTTATACAATTTAGGTGAAAGAAGAGTGAGAATAACATATCCTTTTAATTAAAATCCTAATAACACAGATCCGATTAATGAAATGGCTGTTCGAATAATAATTTGTGTAGAAATGTCAAATGATACTTAAAAATTATCTGCATTTAACGAATAGTTCGTATTGTTGAAGAATTTTTTCTATTGAAAGAAAAATACCGATATTATACCGTTACTTTTCGATTGTATCTTTATACCGTTATAATAATCGAAAATACTTATATAGTTATAGTTCTTTTTTACGATCATAATTAATATAATTATTATTTGTTAGAGATCAAGCATATTCTTAATGACTGATCAACATTTGAGATTTAAATATATTATGACAGAGGTATTAGTATTGTTTTGCAATATACGTAAGTTTTGAAAATTTATTTAATCGTATCTATGGAATTCTTGATAAAAAGTTTCATTCTATGATCAAAAGGTCTTGGATTTATTCTAATCCGTTTTGCAATATTAATGCATTGTCATGAAACATTTGTTCAAGGAGCCTCTCAGTATGCCACGAGGACGATTTATAGAGAATATTTTAAAATCTTGGAATAAGGAGAAAGAAATTTTTCAGAATTATATTCACTAGTTTTAGCAGTATCACCTACATAAGTTGATGTCGAAAGATCAATCTCATTTTTAAAATACGTATTATCACAATTAAAATATTATTTATACGATGATATTTTTAACGATATATTAATACTTAATAGTAAGAAAAATGAAAATTTATTGTTTTAAATTATAGAGACAAAAAAACATGCTCTGGTCTTGATGAAATAAATATTCAAAAAAATATCATTATTAAGTTTCTACGTTGAAGTTAATTTTAGATGAAAACGAGGTGATCAAACAAACAATTCAAATTATTATTATTATTATTATTATTATTATTATTATTATTATTATTATTATTATTATTATTATTATTATTGTTGTTATAAAATTGTAATATTATTTGTTGGAAGAAATTATGAGAACTCTTATTTTATATCATATTATATTCTTCAATAATTTAGTTACATGAAATGGGGAGTAGAATTCGACAGTTAAAGCATCGACTGATAACCTCGGAAAAGGAGAAGATCGAGACTAATGTCTTAAGATATTTATCGTGAACGAATCACCACCAAGCCTTCCATTAATTGCAATTTTCTTCGAGGGGCTTCCGTGTGTTCTTTAAATATTGACGATGAAGCATCAGCTTATGCGAGGATTATAGATGGTAGGGATGCTCAATGACGTCATATTTTGTTGGCGGAAGCATTTCGGGAAATAGTTCCTCTGTTATAGGTAGATTATCGAAGGTGTTCCGACGAGAAAGAATTCCGAAGACGATATTATTGTAGAAATATTGGATTGACAAGAAAGTAATTTCGATTTGATGATGACATAATGAAAGCTATAATTGAATCGATTGTCATATAACTGCGAGAGATTGCAAAAAGGTTAAATGTATCACACACAATAATTATCACACAAAATATCTAAAAGAAAATCACGTAAGATGTTTTGGACTCGTTAAGAAGTTCGATATTTGGGTGGCGCATGAATTGAAAGAAATTCATTTACTACAACGAATCAATATTTGCTGCGATACGCATTTCAAACTTAATGCAATTGACCCTTTTTTGAAAGGAATTATCACTGATGATAAAAAATGGATCGTCTACAATAACATTAATCGAAAAATATCATGGTCCAAGTGTGATGAACAAGCACAAATCATATCGAAGACTAAATTGCATTAGAAAAAGATCATGTTGTCAATTTGGTGGGATTACAAAGATGATGTGTATTTTGAGATGCTTCCAAACAACCGAATGATCAACTCAGATATTTACTGCCAACGACTTATGAAATTGGAAGATGCAATCAAAGAAAAAAGATCAAAATTGGCAAATCGCAAAGAAATTTTGTTCCATCACGACAATGCGAGGCCTCATACATCTTCAGTAACACGTACGAAATTATAGGAGTTTGGTTTGGAAGTGATGTTGCATCCTCCATATAGTCCTGATCTTGCACAATCGGATTATTATTTATTTCAAAGTTTACAAAACCTTTTTAAATGGTAAAAATTTCAGTAATAACGATGATCTCAAATCGCACTTGGTTGAGTTTTTTGCTGATAAGAACCAGAAGTTCTATGAGCGCGGAATTGTGAAGTTACCAGGAAGACGGTAAAAAGTCATCGAACAGAATGGAAGATATTTGACTAATTAAAATTTATTTTTTGTATAGAAAAAATTGACTTTTATTTCATACTAAAAAACCGAAATTACTTTGTTGCCAACCCAATAATTGCCCTCATTCACGATGAACAATTTAATTGTAAAAAGAAAGGAAAAAATCTTTTTCTCTTGAAAGCTTTAATCCTTTGTTAAATCGTTATGTTCATTAAAATATTTAATATTTACGAAACTCTTCACACATTATTTATTATAAATTTGTTATACGAAAATAGAAATTAATTTTGAATACTTTGTTTCTCGAATCGATTTTACACCAATTAATGTACATACTTCCATCTATCTTTCATAATTATTGATAGATAAAAGAATAAAGGAGAACTCGTTTTATTATAACCTTTACATTAAATTTTATAATTATTAAAAAATATAATTCTGTCACAAAAGAAATCTTAAAAATATAGTTTTATATAAAATATTCAAAATTAAGTGAATCATCGATGAATGTTATAACATTCATGGTACGAAAAAGAAATTACGAATTAATATTAAACAAACCTATTATACGCTTTTACTATAGTTCTAATACGTAATAATATTCAACGAGCTAACAATAAGTGAAATTGAGAAGTTAATTTTAGGAAATTTTTCTATCCAATTTTACAATAGAATTCATAAAGTGTTTATATATTTATTACCATCTCGATTGTTCTAATATATAACAATGTAATACACAGTATTCAACGTGCAAACGATAAGAAAAAACGAGATACTAATTCGAGGAAAATTTTTTTGTACAATTTTACAATAGAATTCATAAAAGTGATCATAGAATTATTATCATCTTTATTATTTTAATGTATAATATTATAACAGATTTGTTACGCTACATTATAATGATTAGTTATCGTGATTTTTAGTTATGGCGATTTTTATTTATATTAATTAGGTATAGTCAAAATGAATTCTAAAAAATGTATTGAATAATCATTAGCAATAAACACGGTACTCGGTTGTCGTTTTTGATAGTCTACACAATATTGATTATAGTTATAAAGAAATATTTTAGAAAATTTGTTTTAATATAATTGACCGTGGCCTTGTTGAGATTAATCTGTGAGTCGATGTATCGTCAAAATGAATTTTGAAAATAGTATTGAGTAATCATTAGCAATAAGCACGATACTCGGTTGTCGTCTTCGATAACGTAATATCGGATAATTCAATATTTATAAATGGCATACTCTATTCGAAGAAGAGTATCGTCAAATTAATCGAAACCTCTCGAGTCGTTCGATTGCTTCGAATTAGATCGGAATTAGAAAAGAGTAACTGACGACGATAATAAAAAGAAAGAAGGAATACGATCGAGTTTTTATATGGAAACCTAAAACGAGTGTCATCCTACAAAAGTGTTAACACACTAAGTCGTATAAATAAAAATTAATTCGATTGTTTTTTTTTCCTTTAACGTTGTTGTGCCGTGTTTAGAAAACAAACAATACAATTAATGAGATTAATCGAGAGAGAGAGAGGGAGAGAGAGAGAGAGAGAGAGAGTAAAGAAAAAAAAATATATACTATCTATCTTACCATTAAATGATTCCTCAGAAGAAAATAAAAATTTTATGATTACAATTAGGAATATAATTAAAATTTTTAGTGAAACCATTTGTTGAGCTCTCTTTTTCTCTATTTGTTCGTGCAACGTTTTTATTATTGTCATCATCGACTTATGTACATACGTCAGGGTAATTACATAAGAGATTATTTTCACGAGTCTGAAATAAGCAGTGCATGGTTAACACTAACTTAACGATAATTGGATTCCGATCGTTGTGGTCATCGAAGTTGTGAACCGAGTTGTCAAGCACTGTTTTTACTTTATCATTTAGTTGCTTAGTGCATAGTGATCTTCGTGATGTGTAATACAGAATGAAAATTGTTTTCTTCTTCTTCTTCTTTTGCTTTCTTCTTTTTCCTTCAATTATTTCCATTTGTTTTTTTCTTATTTCTCTTACGAATACGATGACTGTCATTGATAACGATATTATAGAAGGAAATAGAATAAGGAATGATAACGAAAGAAGAGGAAAACGAACGATCGGTGACATAACGTGACTTTATGTGATGTCATTTAGGACAAGGAAATAAATAGAAAATACAAAGTGGAGGATCGTAAAGGTCTTTTGGGATATTCCTTACGTAGTATGCAATCTAACGTTACGAACAAAACAGTCTTTGTGATCTCTTACGAAAATGATGGAAACAACAATAGTACTGGTCGACGTTCAAATTTCTACAGAAATTCCAGCATACGAAAGAAGACGGAATCGAGAGAAAATATAAGTATCATCTATTACCAGATTATATCACGTGGATTTATTGTTTCACTTTTGTCTTTAAGAATAGAATATTTTTGTCCATTTTCTTTCTTTTTTCTTTTTTTTTTTTTTTTCTATTTTCTTTGTTCTTTTTCTCTTTTTCGACAAATTGATATATTTATAAAAAATATTCTTTTAATATAATTAAAATACATCTTTTTAAAATATTAAAAAATAAAAGAAATATATATATATATATATATATTTATATATATATGATAACAAAATATATTTCTTTTGTAAGCTATAATGCCTTCGCCGTTAATTTCTTTTCGGCATACTTTATTGCACTAGCAAAACGCTTTCAAAAAAAAAATAAATTTTCGATCGAATGGAATT